GGCTGCCCGCAGTACCCCCGGCCCCGGGCGCAGGCGGTAACAGCAGAAAAGGCCGTGACAGCGTTCACGAGAGTTTTATTGCTTTTATCAACCTTCTGAAACGTTACAAAAGATAATTCCATCCTCGCGGTAACACAACAGAGGCTGGATCTGCACATTAGAGACAAGGCCGAGAGTTGTGTTCGCTGTATAAACGGAATAGCGGATCCTACATTTGGAATAACGTTGTCATTTGCTTTGGATTTTGGTATAAAGTAAGAAAACGTTTTAATTAGAAAAGCAGTAATAAAAAATCTGAACCGTACAGTATGTAATCACATTTCAAATAATCAGTATTAAAATCAAAAATGTAGTTCAGCTACAGCTGCCGAACCCTGGAAGACACCTTTGTACAGGAGTATCAGCAACAATAGAAAGAAAAGTACTACAAACAATGCGTCTTGCCAATAAAATCATTTAGAAATTACTGATTTTCAAAATCACTCATTATTCCAAATAAATATCAACAGGTACTAAATTCCATAAGAAAGTGTCTTTACATTAACTTCAATGCCAATTATTAAGTCCTATGAGTTTTCACTAAAAAAGTTACAAAATAAAATTGACTTAAAATTACTAAGCGATTTGCTTTATTTATAGCACTACTTTTACACTGCCTCAAAGCCGTCTGCCTCTAGCCTTAAAATACGCCATAAAATAAATTACTGTCGGTATAAACAAAGTATTTCACACATTTGTACTTGATAATTAATTTGACCTAGATGAGTAATTAAAACATTACTAATCATATAAAGCAAAAAGAAACCTAAAATCATTGCGGTGCTCATCGGACAGACTACAGGTGTGAACTGAAACTCATGACCCATTGATTTACCTGAAGATTTACAGCACGTATGTACATGGCAGCCCTTTAACTGGTGCAGGCTCTGGGACACCACAGCGGTGTGTCACAGGTATATTCTACAGCCTGTCTTTGGAAAGGGCACCAATTAGGAAGCTACCACAGAAAAACAGGCGAAGCAAATGGTACCTCGGGGGAGAACTTTCATTAAATGTAGAAAAAAATGGCCAAGACATTTGGCTGAAAAAAAAAAAAAACCAAAAAACAAAAGAAACAACCCACTAGGGCACGAAATTCTACCCTAACAGGTTTTATGACAACAAACTTGGCAATCTGGAACATTTCACTGAATAATCTTATGCTACAGCTGCAAAATTATTCTAGGAATAAAGGATAATTAACTCGGGCATATGTAAACAGAATGAGAAGTGTGTCATTGTACTACATATGAAAATACTAAGAATGAGTTTCGTAGAATATAATTTAAACGTGAGACTGCATTTTAAGTGAAATATTTTAGATGATAATTTAAATGGAGTGGTCAAAATTAAGACCTACACTTTATGTAAACATTCATATTTATAAATAAATTAGAAACAGAAAAAAAAAAAGGGGG